AGAAATCCCCCTATTGGGAATATACCCGAAGGAACTCAAATTATTCTACAAAAAAGATACCTGCACACGTATGTTTGTTGCAGCTCTATTCACAATAGCAAAAACATGGAACCAACCGTGTTGCCCATCGAAACTGGACTGGATTAAGAAAACGTGGTACATATACACAATGAAATATTATGCAGCCATAAAGAAGGACAAATATATGGGTTTTGCAGCAACTTGGATGGATTTGGAGTCGATCATACTCAGTGATAAATACTCAGAAACATAGAACTGAGTTCCATATGTTCTCACTCATAAGCTGACCTTGAACAATTACAGTGCTATGAGAGGCTCTTTCTTAATAGCTTTGGTGGCCATGCAGGGGATGTATGATGGAATCCTTCTTAGGGGTCAGCAGGGGCTCAGAAGGACAGGGCATCCCACGCCTCCAAGCGCCCCTCAGCTGTCAGGCCAGGTCTCCTCTCCGTGCTATCTGACCCCTTGTCTTAGTTTTTACCAAAGCCCCTGACCTGCCTCAACATTTCTGGTGGAAGAATCAGGAAGCTGGAAAGTCCCTGGCATGGCTTCTGAGACTCTGATGCCATTTCCCCACCCATTTTGTCTCCTCTGCAAAGTTGTTCCTTCTGCTCCTGGCCGGGTCCTGGCATCCCGGAACACCAAGACGTCGGTGGTGGTGCAGTGGGACAGGCCCAAACACGAGGAGGAGCTGCTGGGCTACTACGTGGACTGCTGCGTGGCGGGCACCAACGTCTGGGAGCCGTGCAACCACAAGCCCATCACATACAACAGGTGCGAGCTTGGCTCCCGGGCTGAGGATGGCACACGGAAATAAAGCACAGGAAACACACTGACGGGACCCACGCCACTCACAGAATAAGCAGTGCCTGCAGTGCCTGCCATGGCAGACACATGTCCACAGAGTTCCTGTATGCACGGGCCTGTCTTAGTCATGCTTGGGGTTATGGAACTGGCTCAGCCTGTAACCCTGTGCCTTTGGGAGGCTGAGGTGAGAGGATTGCCTGAGCCCGCGGGTTTAAGACCCGCCTGGGCAGGCAAAACCTCATCTCTACAATACATCACAAAATTAGCCGGGCGTGGTAGCCGCGCCTGTAATTCCGGCTACTCGGAAGGCTGAGGCGGAAGGATCGCCGGAGGCCAGCAGGTCGAGGCTGCGGTGGCCGGGAGCAGCCACTGCACTCCAGTCTCAGCAACAGAGTGAGACTCCAACTCAAACAAACAAACAAACAAACAAACAAACAAAAAACATTGTGACCACTTGGAGGAGCTGGTTCCTAAACTAGCTTGTCCTGATCAGAATGATTTATTTATGGATGAAAGGAGCGTCCCAGAGCCTGGGTTTTCCTGACGTAATGGGCACTCCAGGCTCTTCTTTGAGTGGGAGAGTTCAAAATAGCAACTGCGATGTGAAAGTCGTTTCATTCTGCCGTATTGATTTTTCAAACCTTTAAAATTGCTTTGTTCGCATAAATAGAAGTCTCCAGCTCTCCATGGAGACTGCATGGGGAGACCATGCTTCTATCATGGAGGGGCCGTGGGGAGACCCAGGCACCTCTGTATTCGGGACCAACTTCCTCCTGCTCTGTGCTGAGTGTACAGAGGGACTGAGGTCACAGACACTCCCCACCATGCGCTTCTTAGGAAACGTGGGTGGCCGTCAGAGTCAGCCCGGTGCGTGGTCATCAATTATGACTTGGTCATTTCCCTTTTTAAAATCCTAATCTATCAGCCTCCCAAAGTGCTGGAATTACAGGCATGAGCCACTGGGGAAAAAAATCGTAATCTAAATTTAAAACTTTTTTTCTTTAAATTTTTTTTTTTAATTTTAAGGATGTGGGGTACAATTCAAGGTGAGGCATACAAATGTTCATTATGCAGGTTCCCTTGTTGATGAGGTGTGTCCCTCCCACCCCTAGCAGTTTCCCACTACTGTTAATCCCACGCTTCCCTTCCCTGGCTCTTTCCCACTACTATCAATCCTTTTCTTGTAGTATTACAATAGTTGCTCAAGGTCTGCTTATGAGTGAGGACATGTGGTACTCAGTTCTTTGTTTCTGTGATAGGTCACTCAGTATTATGGCCTCTAAGACCATCCAAGTTGCTGTGAAGTTCATAATTTTGTCCTTCTTTATGACTGTATAATATTCCATTGCATATGTGTACCATTTATTTTCTGTCCTCTTTCAATGGGCAGCATGGTTCATGCCATGTTTTAGCTATTGTGAATAATGCTGCAATAAACATATGTGTGCAGGTATCTTTTTCATAGAGTGATTTGAGCTTCTCTGGGTATATTCCCAGCAGGGAGAGTGCAGGGTCATATGGAAGACCAATTTTTAGTAAATCTAAATCTTTTTACATTGTCAACAGCTGTGGCCAGAAAAGAAGAGGTGTCATTGAGGAGAATAATAGCTAGATGATCCTCCCAGTCCACAGCCAATGCAGGATTGATCAGAATAAGAAACTTGAAATATTATGCCAGTATGAGGATGTTGTAAATGGCTAATGCATGTTGGTTGACTATACATGACAAATAACAATTGCCTGCTCTTGACTGAGTAAATGAGTTTCTGCCATACATGGGGCAACCCTGCTGAGACCTTTACACAAAGATTTCCTTTTAGTGCTTGCAACAATGTTAAGGTAGAGCTATTATTATCCCCATTTCACAGATGGGCAAACAAAGTCTACAAGGGTCAAGGAATTTGATTAAGGATAGAAAATCTGCTAAGTGCCAAAGTCAGTATTTCAGCCTAGTCTATCTGACTTCAAAGTCTTAGCCTTTAGCCTCTGCAGTATAATCACTTCTCATTTAGTTGTACACACGTGGGTTCCTGAGGTAGTGAACTGGATACTGTTTTCTAATGGACCTTTGATCCAGACAAGACCCGGGAAATGCAACAGTGAATGCGATGTCACAGCGTGAGTGGCTTGGACCCTAAGTACAGTCAGCTCCTGGTTTAATTGGGCACTGCGACCTTACTTTCTGACTCTAAATGTTGACTTAATTAACTAAAATTGAAAGTGAAGGAAGTATGTCATGCATGTACAAGGCACTTGAGAAGGGAACTTCGTTTCAGTCCAAGTGAACATTTTTATGGCTTGTTCAAAATGACTTCTGCCTCTGCTGTGGAAGAAAGCAGAGGCCTTTGTGGCGCTGAGTCCCCCTTGTGTTCCCAGGTTTGTGGTGCATGGCCTGACCACCGGAGAGCAGTACATCTTCCGTGTGAAGGCCGTCAATGCCGTGGGCACCAGTGAGAACTCCCAGGAGTCGGACATCATTAAGGTCCAGGCTGCTCTCAGTAAGTCACTTGAGGGCCATGCTGCCCGATTTTTGGTTCTCCAGGATGTTGTATTTTCTGCATGAATAAACATTTATGATGTCATTTGGAATATTACCAGGGGTATAAAGTGTTGAACAGAGAGTGTGCGAGTCCTTTGGACTCTCTCGACTGGCTACTTGTCTTGGAAATGACAGTGTGAGAGGAAGAAATGATAATAGATGAATAAAGTGGCAATTAAACATATAAAACATTATTAGGGGCCACATTTGTTTCCAAATACCTGTATTCACATGAAAACATACCCTATAGGGCAGTGGTCCCCAACCTTTTGGCATCAGGGACTAGTTTCATGGAAGAAAATTGTTCCACAGACCAGGAGAGGGGTAGGGATGGTTTTGGGCTGATTCAAGTGTATAACAGTTATTGTGCATTTTATTTCTATTATTATTACCTTGTAATATGTAATGAAATAATTATGCAACTCACCATAAAAAAGAAGAGGCATGCCTGGAAGTGGTAAATGAAATAATAGGCAGACCATGTGTGGACTAAAATAAGTGTCGAATTTTGACTTAAAGCCTGCTACCAGATGCAGCTGTACAGTTGAGTTATATCAACTCACTTGCTACTCACTGAAAGATATGAGTCTGCAAGTAATAAATTTATGATGGTCTCTGCAGTCAAACCTCACTGCTAATGCGAATCTGTATTTGCAGCTGCTTCGCATCACTGCCTCAGCTCCACCTCAGATCATTAAGTGTTAGATTTTCGTAAGGAGTGTGTAACCTAGATCCTGCACATGTGCAGTCCATAGTAGGGCTGTGCTCATATGAGAATCTAATGCCACCACTGATCTGACAGAAGGCAAAGCTCAAGTGGTAATGAGAACAATGGGGAGTAGATGTAAATACAGATAAAGCTTCCGCTTGCCCACCGCTCACCACCTGCTGTGTGATCTGGTTTTTGGTTCTGAAAAGGCCATGGTGTATGGCCTAGGGGTTGGAGACCCCTGCTATAGAGGATGAATTTCTCTTTTCAAGATATGTGCTCAACACTAGTGGCCTTTGCTGCTAGTCTTACTTCAAGGAACTTTAATAAAATCATTTCAGAGAATTTGACGTGCTTATGTAACTTTGTGGCTTTATTACTATTTTCATCAATAGTGATATTTACAATTTTTTACTATTTTGAGCAAACGAGACAGTCAGGATCTTAAATCTCAACAATGGGTCCCCAAAAGTTGATCTATATAGCTCTGTATTTTCTCTTTGTAGCTCTAGTTAATTTCCTATTAAATGCACCACACTGCATAAATGTATTCAGCAGCATTTTAACACACAAATGTCACATCGTGCACACTGTGAATCACACTATTATCTCTTCACTTTGGAGATAAATGTTTTTGCTCTTCGATTACTTCTCTTCTCCAACCAAATTTACAAACATTTTCAGAAATTAAAACGATTCTTCTAATGAATTTGTTACTGGAATTTCCAAGAAATATCAAATCTGAGAATACTTGTGTAGGCACAATAGAACAAATTCTTCTGTTGCAGTTATTATTCTGATCTCCTCTCAAGTTTTTCCAGGAGGAACTATCACACATTCCCATTTGCCTCTTTAAGTCATTCCTCCTAAATAAAAACCAATCACTGACGTTTTTAATCTGCAGTACGAATTACTTCTTCTAGTCACCTGTATCTCTGGTGATGGAGGATGACCACAACACAGTGACTCTGGGTCAGGGGAGAAGCAGACACATCCTTTCTCAGCTTGTTAGGAGAAGATGGCCTCTTTGAAAATACTGTGCTTAAACAAGGAAACTGGAATTCATACTCACTCGAGGGACCCTCAAGTTTCTGTAACTGTAGGAAATTAACACTTTCTGGAATAAGCAATGTTGTTCTTGTTAGCCACAGATGCACAGTGGTTATTTCTCATAGGTGTACATGAGAATGTTCCTTCTCAGTGTTCTTCTTAAGGGGCAGGGAGGACTTCTTCTGTTGTGTCAAATGTTCACACCAAATTAAAAAGTTCATTGTCCTGGCATTGTTGAAATATTGGTGGTTGTACTTAGAAATAGCAATAAATATAAATGAGAGGGACTTCACCTCCTTTAAAGGAAAATGTCACAATAAGATGGTTGAAGTCAGGTCAAGAGAGAGTAGAGTGAGAGGATTTGGGACCACATCCCTGGAACCTCCTCATCCCTCTGAGTTGCTGGAACTGACCATGTCGGGGATGGAATGTGGAGCCCAGGTCCTGGTTAACTTTGCATGGTGCTTCCTCGCAGCTGTGCCCTCTCACCCTTACGGTATCACACTCCTGAACTGCGACGGCCATTCTATGACCCTCGGCTGGAAGGTGCCCAAGTTTAGCGGCGGCGCGGCCATTCTGGGCTACTACATAGACAAGCGTGAGGTTCACCACAAGAATTGGCACGAGATCAATTCTTCACCCATCAAAGAGACAATCTTAACGGTTGGTTTTACTTGTTTGTTCTTTTTTGCCTGGGTGATGTTTACATTTTGGGAAGTTCTTCATTCAGAGTTTAATGACATTAGATAATTTCATACAGACACAAAAACTGATTTAAAAAAATGAATGGTATCAGCCGGGCTTGGTGGCTCAGCCTATAATCCCGCGCCTTTGGGAGGCTGAGGTGAGTGGATTGCCTGAGCCCGCGGGTTCGAGACCCGCCTGGGCAAGGAGACCTCATCTCTACAATAAATCAAAAAATCAGCCAGGCGTGGTAGCGCACGCCTGTAGTTCCGGCTACTTGGAAGGCTGAGGCGGAAGGATCGCCGGAGCCCAGCAGGCGAGGCTGCAGTGGCCGGAAGCGGCCACTGCACTCCAGTCTGGGCGACAGAGTGAGACTCCAACTCAAAAAATTAAAAAAAAAAAAAAAAAAGAATGATATCATGGGATCATGAAGTTTTGGGACAAAAGCCGTCTTCAGAATCATTCTTTTTTTCTTCTGAGAAGCAGCCAAAAAGAAAGTCCAGTAATTGAGTGGGTTTGACAATCAGTTGATGACTTTGGTGTGACCAGAATTCAGACCCCAAGACATCTCATCCTAAGCTCTGGACCCCTTGCAGGCAGTGAGGTAGGATGCCCTGTGCACCTGAGGTTAGAGTCATTGCTAGGCAAGTGTTCATTAGAAGAATGGCTTTGCCTCTCTGATTGTCAACCACCACCTTCCTAAGAAACTCTTGTATTCCACACCTCTAAGACAGCCACTTGTTGCAAGACACATTACGTCCAGGTGGAGACAGTAGAAAGAACATTCAGTTGGAGCACTATCTGGAATCAAATCCAGATGCAAGCCCTTGGCAGCCACCTGGACTTCTGGCTTACCTGCCTGAGCCTGGATTCCTCACTGAACACTGTGTGAATGTTTATCTCATGAGAGGGCTCGCATCTTCACCTCAGGGGGATCACAGTGCTCGGAGGAGTCACACTGCCAAAGGAGGGGTTTTAGAAGGGAAGGTCTTAGAAGAGCTTATCTTTGCTCTCTAGAAAATTCTGCTTTGTAAAAAGTCTATCTTTCTAATATATGATGTATTTTACGTATTTTATGCATGTATATTATGATACCTATAGCCAACATTCAGGTTTGGTGTGATATTGTTGATATTTCACCCATGTTCAACCTTTGACACTCTATTGTATTTTCAGTTTTTAAAAATTTTATTTGTAATTGACCAATAATAATTGTTGACATCAATGGGATACAATGTGATATTCTAATATATGTTTACATTGTTGAGTAATGAGATCCAGCTAATTAACATCCCCGTCACCTCTCATACTTACCACTTTTTTGGTGATGAGGACATATAAAGTCGAATGGTTTTTGGTATTTTGAAATACATAAGTCATACATTATTATGCTCTGAGGTCACCACGCTGAGCGCCAGGTCACTAGACCTTACCCTTCCTGCCTTGAGGGAGCTTTGTACCCTTTGACCCACATCTCTCCTACCCCCACTCCAGCCCCTAGGACACACTTTCTACCCTCCATGTCTGTGAGTCTGATTTTTTTAGATTCCACATAGGAGAGATCATACTGCATCTGTCTCTGTGCCTGGCTTATTTCACTTAGCATAACTGTTCTTCACCAGGTCCAATATTCTTGAGAAAAGCACCCTTTATTTTCTGAATGCTTAACAGCTTTGTCCTGAGAAGGAGGCCCTGTGGCTTCTGGGTAGAGCGATTTACCCTTACATGTCTTTGGAAGTTGCTTTTTGGAGACAGTGTTTACTTAGATGCTGCTTTGGTTCCACCAGTCTTCAGAGGCAGGTCAAAGGCTTCCTAGTGCTTCCTGTGGCCTGGCAGAGCTTTGAGGGCCCCTGGGGGGTGTGGACCATGGACTGTGGCAACCTTGGGGACCTGGGCCCCTGGGCGCCTCATCCTGCAGAGTCCTGAGTGGGTGGGGGAAGCGATGGGCTCCCAGTCTCCCAGGGTTCTCCTGCCAGGTCCCAGTGCTAGGGCCTGTTTATGGGATGAGGTGTGGGCCTGAGCACAGGGCCCACATTCCCTTCGGGAATGTCGTCTCTCTTAGCCTCAGTTTCCTCATGTGCCCAAAGGGCATTGCAGGCCCTCTAGTCAGAGCGTTTATGGAATGAATGAAGCAGTTTTTAAGGTTCAATGTCGTAGTGGTGGCAGCTTGTCAGGCGCATGAAAAGCCTTCCTTGCGTACTTAGTGTCATTTGCTGGCGAGGATCCTTCCACTCATGTCTCATTGTACACGGCGGTCACAAACACTCCTTCCCTCCAGAGGATGGCAATGCCTCTTTTATTTCATGTATTGATTTAAGCAAAATCTAAACAGGTGGAGGACTTGACGGAAGGCTCACTCTATGAATTCAAAATCGCTGCTGCCAACCTGGCGGGCATTGGAGACCCCTCTGACTCCAGTGAGCACTTCAGGTGTGAGGCCTGGACCATGCCGGAGCCGGGTAAGATGCGCCTGTCCCTCGGGGCTGGCCAGGGAGGGGCTTCCATGGCTGCACCTCCATGCTCGCCAGCCTCCATGGCATACCCCTTGATCTTATACCCAGGCACAGGACCAGCCCATGTGGGTGCCGGAGAGGCTGTGAGCCGACAGACCTGGTGTCTGTTTTCTGGGCCATGCTAGGACAAGAAGCCGGGGTAAAGGCAGAGCAAGGGACCCTGAGCGAGGGGCAGGTGGGGCCCAGAAGGGACACCCCACCTAGGCTGCAGAGTGAGGGAAGCGTCCCAAGCCAGCCCCTGGCCCGCGGCAAGGACTGGGCCCTGGTCGGTTTCTCCCCAAGGAGTGAGGGAAGCCAAGGGGCAGAGGAGCCTGGGCCCTACCTAAGACAGTGCATGACATTGCATTTCTCACTTATGTGCTAGCTGCAGTGTTCTTCTCTCAGAACACTGGAGACCCGAGTCCTATAGATCTAAAAGGCACATTTGTTGTAGATCCGCATTTATTTAGGAAACTACTTTTTTTGAGATGGGTACTCTCTGTGGCCCAGGCTGGCCTCCAAGATTAGGCTCAAGTCATCATCCTGCCTCTACCTCCCAGTAGCTGGGACTACAGGCAAGTACCATCATGCCCGGCTAACATTCTAAAACTGTTTTCACAAATTTTCAAGTCCCAGGTATTCATTTATTTTTATATAGCCTGTCAGGAACCGAAACGCAGTGGATGGCATGCTCATACTTAGACAAAGATAAGCCTAAAAGTAGATGCTGTGAAAGCTCAAAGTTCAGTGTTCTTCAATTTTGTGGCCAGATTATGTCAGCTTTTCTGTTCAAGCATTTTTTTTTTGAATGAACAAATCAGCTCCTAAGAATCCAGTTGAAAAAATCAATTAGAAATGTTTTTCCTTCTTTCCTGTCTTTTGTGTTTTAATGAAATTTTTGTACCTTAGGAAAACCAATGGAAGAAAAAGCCGTTACATTTCCAGAGTCTTTTTGAGGGTTGCTAGAAAGTGCTTTGCAGGTCTCAAGGCCCCGTGAGGCTAGTTTAGGCTGCAGGGGCCCTGGTACTTCCCTTTTACTGCTCAGCGCTTACTGGGACCCTGACTATCAGCCTGCACATCTGGCTAATGTCGCTGTGGGTGTCTAGAGATTGCAGAGCCGAATCGGTGCACCTCTAGCCAAGTGGTCAGGCACCTGAAGGAGTGCCTGGGACTGACTGGTGTCCAGCCCAGGGAAGGACAGCTTGAGGACCTTTTCTACACATCTTTCCTCTCTGTGATGGCATCTGCTGGTCCCAAGAGAGCAGAGGGCTCAGGAGCGATTCTGAGTATCTCCAAAATGCCCCCATGCTGATGGAAAAGGCTGCAGGGGCCTTGGTTGGGTTCTCTACTTGAACGCTCTCCCAGAAGGACTATGTGTGCATTCGAAAGGGAGTGCTCAATGGCGTTTTTGGTGGGAGACATTCTCCCAAGAAGCGCCTGCCCTGGGAATCGGGTGTGGGCGGCTGTGTGTATGCAGCTGAACAGGTTGAATCTGACTTCTCAGGTCCGGCCTACGACCTGACATTCTGCGAGGTCAGGGACACATCCCTGGTCATGCTGTGGAAGGCTCCCGTGTACACTGGCAGCAGCCCTGTGTCTGGATACTTTGTGGATTTTAAGGAAGAGGATGCCGGAGAATGGAAGACTGTGAACCAGGCGATAACTCCAAATCGTTATTTAAAGGTGATTCATGCATATATCCATTTCCTTTTGTGCGAGTGCATTTTGATCCCTGTGCAAATTGGCATAACACCCCAAGTGACCCTGTACAAATGACTTGGGTGTGGCTGTTATAGGGGCCATATGGGGCTGCCAGTCACCTATGTGGGTTTGTGGGTCTCAGCAGGGGGCACTGAAGTGTGGTGAAGAGGTGGCATCGTCCAGTTATTCACACAAAGCCATATTGGTCCTGGGCAGCTGTGTAGACGGGCCTCTTCTTCCTCCCACACTGCAGTTTAACAGTGTGAATGGCACCACTCTCAGTTTTGTGTGTTTACAGGCTGTCTCCATGTGCTTTCTACAGCGATGATTAATATTTTATTACTTCTTCCACTTCAAGCCCCATATTTAATTCGCTTAATGCAGGCAATTGCTAATAGATGTCTATTTTATAAACACTATACACACGTTTGCATACGGTCTTAATACATTTGGTAAAATTATAATGTGTAACCTGTTCTATTTTTTTTCTCCAAATATGTCTATTTTTAGCATTTTTAATTTGTCAGATCCTGGTTCAATTGTAACAAATCTTTTTAGACCCACTAGGCCTGTGTGCCCTGGTAAATTGACCAGTTGCCTTAATGCAAAGATTTTCTTCTCTGGTTCTGGGCCCTGTGGTGGGATGTAGACAGAGGTGCAAGGTGCATCCTTACCTACCAGGCCACACCCGAGGTAGACACAGGCGTATACAGGGAGGGAGGCACCAGTAGGTGCCAACTTCTGGAAAACAATTCAACACTTTTCTTTCTATTCTTTTTCTTTCTTTCTTTCTTTCCTTCCTTCCTTCCTTCCTTCCTTCCTTCCTTCCTTCCTTCCTTCCTTCCTTCTTTCCTTCTTTCTTTCTTTCTTTCTTTCTTTCTCTTTTTTCTTTCTTTCCCTCCCTCCTTCCTTTCTTTTTCTTTTCTTTCTTTCCCTCCCTCCCTCCTTCCTTTCTTTTTCTTTTTTCTTTCCCTCCCTCCCTCCTTCCTTCCTTTCCTTCTTTTCTTTCTTTCTTTTTCTTTCTTTTCTTTCTTTCCCTTCCTCTCTCCCTCCTTCTTTTCTTTTCTTTCTTCCTTCTTTCCTTCCTTCCTTTTTTGTTTGGGTCAGAGTCTCACTCTTTCGCTCATGCTGGAGTGCAGTGGCATGCTCATGGCCATCACAGTCTTGATCTGCTGGGTTCCTCAATCTTGCCTCAGCCTTCCAAGTAGCTGTAACTACTGGCATGCACTATCATGCCTGATTCATTTTTTATTTATTATAGAGAAGAGGTCTTGCCAAATTTCCCAGGCTCATCTTGAACTCCTGGGCTTAGGCAATCCTCTCGACTCTGCCTCCTAAAGTTCTGGGATTACAGGCATGGGCCACTGAGCCCAGTGAAACAGTTTCTTTTGAGTGAACAAATCAACTTCTAAAAAATCAGCTAAATAAAGTAATTAAACATTTATTTAATATCTGTTTAGGGTTAATGCAGATTATAATCTTCATAATCTATGTATATATAAGAAGAGATTGCCTTAATTTTAAGAGATTGGCTTAATTTTGATGTGCCCAAATGATGATTTTGCAGTTAAACATCACATTAAAAATGCTATTTAGTCCCACGGAATTATGTTAAATATGACCACTAGATTATAAACTAGTAAATATGACTTTAATTCTTGTTTAACACATACAGAGAAAAATTAGTGAAAGAGATTATCAAAATTGCAGTGCATGTGTTCATTCCTGTGAAGAGAGACAAAGTGTGAGAATGAGCCTCTTTCTCCCTTCTTTGCTAGCTTGCTTTGTGTAGTTTTCCCAGTGGGAAAAATACGTTTTTTTTCCTAAAAGTGTATTCATAATGAAGTGTGGAAAAATCACAAATTTGTTTTTATCTTATTTCCACACATATGGTGTTTCCTCTCCGGTTTCAAGGTCTGTGATCTGCATCAAGGTAAGACCTACGTCTTCAGAGTGCGAGCAGTTAATGCCAGTGGTGTGGGGAAGCCTTCGGACATGTCGGAGCCGGTGCTTGTAGAGGCTAGACCAGGTGAGACTTTACCTCTCAACTGTTCAGAATAGCAAAAACAGTTGAACAGCAATAATTTGGGGAAGGTGTGCATGTGTTATATATGTATAGGTGTGTGTGTGAATGGATTGATGGATGGATAGATGCATGAATACCTTGTTGTATTTTCAGAAAGCCTTGGTTTGGCAAATGAAATGAAGTGTGCACATCAGCCTCTACCTGTGCTCATGACCTGGGCTAGGAGCCCAACCCACAAGGTTGTCTTTATGGCTGGCACGGGTCATCCCTGTGACAAGTAGTATTCAGGAAGGAAGGCGTTTTTGTATTACTGCTGAGCTTTGATGGACAGATTATAAAGCTGTTGGCCATTTTCTTGGTTCCAATGTATAAAAACCCTTAGGGCAACCTTCAAAGGGAAAGCACTTCTGGAAGGGGAACACAGGACACCCCGTCTGCTATAACAGAATAGCTGAGGCTCGGTGATTTATGAAGGAAACTTTGCCTCTGATTCCAGAGGCTTTGAAGCCTAAGAGGCACGGTGCTGGCACCTGCTTGGCCCTGAGGGCCTCCTGTGCCTCACAGCACAGTGGGGAAGCCGGCCAGCACCCTTGTGGTACGGCGCCTGCTCTCACAGGGCTAACCCTTACCAGGTAGTCAGCATCAACTCTTCAGTCTTGCGAGAGAGATATCCATCCACCTTAACAACCCGATCAACCCTTAAAATCCCCATCTCCCAATGCCATTGCACTGGCTATTCAGTTTTAACATGAGTTTTGGCTGGAACAAACGACCTGCAAACCACAGCCACGGGGAAGCTGTGTATCCGAGTTGCAGGACGGGATGGAGCCATGTGCTGTCGAGACCATGTTGCTTCTCTGCAACGAGCGAGCTCGTGTTGCTCTGGTTCTTTTTGCTGCTTGGCCCTCTTGGCTTCTCCACCTTCTTGGTGACCTGAGAGCATCAACGGTCACCATCGTGGCCTTGGTTCCATTCAACAGCAGAGGCTGAACTGTATCTCTTCAGTTCCTAGTTTCAAACTGACTTGTGTGGGGCAAGGTGTTCACCTGGGTCAAAAAGTATCCAATAAACAAGACACAGCTCCCACCCCCAAACAAAACAGAAGGAGGGTCTGTGGAGAAGGAGGAGCCATATGAGGTGGAATTGGGTGGAGGACACGTGTCTGTTGATGCCTCCCCTGTGAAGGGACTGGGAGGGAATCTTAGCAGAGCAGGATCTTCAGGACCTAAAGAGGTGGCCCCAGCAGGTTTCCTAGGGTAGTACTGAATGCAGGAAAGTCAGTGGACAGAAATGTGATCAATTTAAAAACCAGCAACAGGCCAGGTGCGGTGGCTCAGGCCTATAATCCCAGCACTTTGGGAGGCCATGGTGAGAGGATTGCCTGAGCCTATGGGTTCGAGACCAGCCTAGGCAACTTGGCAAGACCTTGCCTCTACAATAAATTAAAAAAAAAATAGTAGCTGGGCATGGTGGCGCATGTCTGTAGTTCCAGCTACTTGGAAGACTGAGGTGGAAGGATTCCCTGACCCCAGCAGGTCGAGGCTGTGGTAGCTGTGAGTGTGCCACTGCACTCCAGCCTGGGTGACAGAGTGAGACTCCAACTCAAATAACAACGGCAACAACGGAAAAAAAACCAGCAATAGCAACAAAACAACCAGGCCTCTCTGGCATCCCCCCACTCCCAAAGGTGCCTCCTCTTTCATGATTCTCTGGGTCAGTTCTGGTGGCACATTCAGTAAAACTGATGGTTGGGTGTAAAATGAGCTCTCTGCCTGGATCACCCCCTCTCCAGAAAAATAATTCAGAGAACTCTGTGTCCTCAAGCGACTCACCTGCACCTTTGTCGCACAGGCACCAAGGAAATCAGTGCCGGCGTTGATGAAGATGGCAATATCTACCTGGGTTTCGACTGCCAGGAGGTGACGGACGCCTCACAGTTCACCTGGTGCAAATCCTACAAGGAGGTTGCGGATGGGGAGAGGTTTAAGATCCAGACAGAGGGGGATCAGTAAGTCAGACGCAGAGGGTGGCTATTGTAAACTCTTAGGAACTCTTGCAAACAGAAGTGATTAACCTTCACTTACTCTCCTTCCTTTTTAGCTCGAAGTTGTATTTTAAGAATCCAGATAAAGAAGATTTAGGGACCTATTCTGTGTCTGTAAGTGACACGGATGGTGTGTCCTCCAGTTTTGTTTTGGACGCAGAAGGTAATAACTACATGACATGGCCTTGCCTGTCTTGGTTTTAACACACTTTCAAATATTGACTCTGACATAGAAAAGACCTATTTGCTTAGAAAAAGGATGTATGCTTGTGGGAGGCTGGAGTGGGGACTGTTTATATAAGCCAAAAATTACTTTGGAAATTAAACAAACTCTAAAGTTTGCATTATATCCCCCAAATAAGCACTGATTCAGGACATATTACTTGTATAGCCTTCAATGTGTACCTTAAGTTGAGTTTTAGACACACTTTAATTGTTTAGCATGTAGGGAGGTAGGGAGTAATAGATTAACACGTAAGTTCACAAAGTGCATGACAGACATAGTGATGGAAACCTCCTCCTTCCCTTCTAACACTGAGAAATCAGGATGATAAAATAAAACGTGTGTGTATGATTATGTGTGTGTGTGTGCACACGCATGTGGGGGCATGATACAATTTGTAGTCAAAATCCCTTGCTCTTTTACAAATGGGAGATAGCAGGAAGAAGTGAGAAAAGTCTGTTTAAAGTAATCCAGGAAAAATAAGTTTTCTTAGGTAGGTTCACGCATCTGAGTCCACCAGGCAGGCGAGCTCGAGGCAAGAGAGCCTGACTTTTCTAACTCCTGGGGTTGTATGTATTTGTGTGCAACCCTGATCTACCCTTCCGCCAGGTCAGAGTTAGCCCCATGGGAGTTTAAATGAAGAATCAGTGATGTGCAGTGAACTTGGCAGTTCTGGACAGAATTTTTTTGTGTTAGGGTCTTTAAGTCATTTGAGTCTCAGACTTTTCTGTTGAAATGCAGAATCTCCCGGGATGTCCTGAGATTTACAAGCAAATCCTTTAGTTAATGATTAGTGTCCCAGTCCCGGCTGACAGCTGCTGAGGGTGTGATCCTGGAGCACCTCACCCAGGATGGGTGCTGTGGGGTAGTTAGGGAGGACAGAAAGTACCCACGCGAGATGGACAGCCAGGAGCACACTAACATCACAGTCCTGCAGGGCTTGCTCAGTGCTGGTTGAATTCAGGTAAACACATGCTAATTTCACAGGTGAGGAGGCTGCAGAGTTTCTCCTTCCTGGAGTCCTCAGTGTGCTGCTCATAGGCGGGGCAGAAATGGCCCCGAATCTGCCAGCGTCCTTTAAAAGTTGCTTGGCTGACACTCTTGAATTCCAAGACATCGTTTAAGAATTTTGAAGATGATGCATTCCTCCACACCATTTTTAAGTTTCCATATGACATTTTTCCATTTTTAAGTTTCTGTATGACATTTTAATCTTAATTTTAAATATTTGCAAAGGATAAAATTTCCACCATACCTTAGATTGTATATAGACTATGAATATATTTAAGGCAAGACCTTGGAGCTGCAGGCTTAGCTCATTCCATTTATGGAAATTCCTACCAGAAAGCTAATTGGGAAGGCCAGTCCTCCCTGTCAAGCTGGCTGCCCAGTGAGCTTACTTGGTCAGGAGAAGTCTGACTTCATTTTTCAATTCAAATAAACGTGTTCATACAGACCTCTATGACCACCATCTCATTTCTGAATTCTAATTTTAAGAGAGAAGGAAGGAAGGGAAAGAAATAAAGAACCGGTTTAGAGCTTTAATTTTTTTTTTTTTAACATTTTCTTGGGATTTTCTCAGGAGCAATGCATTTTTTTTGCCTGCCTGCCTGCTTCTCTCCCTAGCTCCCTCCCTCCCTACTTCCTTCCTTCTTTTTGTATTTTTTTCTCATGGTTGTATGCCATAGTGATGGCGTGAGAGGCATAGACATTTTTTCATTAATGAAAACAGAGAAGAAACTTTTGAAAGGGGTAGGAGAAATCACAGACCACAAGCTCCTTCTCAGCCAGTCAACCTATTGTAGGAAAGTGCTCTTGTGGAGGCAGAGGATCTGGAAAAGCCTCCCTTTAGTTTCTCCTCTTCCAAGTCTTGCTCTTTTCCAGTAATGTGCCTACCCCTCCTCTACACCACTCCCAGTGCCATACTCCCCACACTGCCCTGATTTTCGCTCAGCTGTCTGCCTAGTAAGTGGGTTCTCGAGCTCGTGAAGATCCTAGTTGTAGACAAGTAAACTATCGATGCCTCTGTATCCCTTTCACTTTTAGTTCCGATCTCTCCTATTTCCTCAATTTAAATCCTGATGATGTTAAACTTTTGCTCTTGTGTGGTTTTGCTGTTGTCTGCATGTCATCACGTACAGGTCTAAATCAACTGAAACGTGTTTTCCTTTATTTTAGAGCTTGAACGCCTGGTAGCATTGAGCAACGAAGTAAAGAATCCCAGTAAGTAAGCCTCTACCCCTGGATGCAGGACTGCAGAGCAGTAGGGCTGTGTCATTAATGTATGAGCTCTGGAGAGAATGGCTGTGGGGGATGGCAGGCCTCATCTCAGATTCTCAGCTATAGGCTTGTACCCTATGGATTCAAGACAAATATTAGTCGATGCTGGAGCTTGTGGAAATTGACACCACAGAGTGTTTTGCATTTGGGGTTTGGTAGAGCTGTTCCTAATCCAAGTGAGATGTCTGTCAAATGAACTCTTCAGCTATTGAATTGCATTAAATACAGAAAGAAGACAGACCTCTTCAGTCACAGAAAGCTGACACAGAACTCACGCAGCATGAGGCTTTCAGTGCAACAACAGGCTAGCTTGAGTTTTATTTTTTATTTTTGGTTTCCATAATCTAATACTCCAGGGTTTCATGTTCTCAAAAAAAATTAATAACTAGGATTGATGCTTTTCTACAATATGCAACTATTCTTTCTCCCAGGGATTCATGCATTATTGACTTGCGATTTCTTTTCTTCCTGTAGCAATACCTCTGAAATCAGAATTAGCTTATGAGATTTTTGATAAGGGCCAGGTTCGCTTCTGGCTCCAGGCTGAGCACTTATCACCAGATGCCAGCTACCGATTCATTATTAATGACAGAGAAGTCTCTGACAGCGAGGTGAGTTCGTGTGTGGGTGATCTCTGGCCTTGAAAGGAGCCGTCTTGTTTTGATAGATCGGTTCCTTAAGTCAATATTCTGTGCTTGTTTCCATCACTTTTTGAGCCATGGAGACTGGGGTATAGAAGGTTGGTAAGACAAACAGCGATGGTTGATTCTTACAATGTTCAGAGATTCAGTCTGGGTTAGGTAAGACATCAGCAGTCTTTTAAATCTAAGCCTGTTGGAATAAAAAAAATGACAAATTATGTTTTAGGAACTTGGAGCTTGCTTTTATGAAAAGGTTCAGGTTACATGGGGGAAAATATCCTTGACAAATCAGTTCATTTATTCTTGATAATATTGAAGGCATCTGTTTTTGCTTTATGGTGAGGACTGTCTCTCTGGGTAACCCACCACTGACAACCTCCCTTGGAAGACACAGGCTTGGAAATAAGTTTCCCTAACCTTAGGTTGCTCTTGGTGTGGCAGAGGGACCTGGACAAGGAAGGCAGAGCAGCTGTCAGAAGGGTGTATTTTGCTGTAACACAAACACTGCTGCCCTCACTCTGTTTTTTTAAAGTTGAGTTGGGGTCTCACTCTGTTGCCCAGGCTGGAGTGCAGTGGCATAATCACGGCTCACTGCAACCCCCCCTCAACCTCCTGGACTCAGGCGATCCTTCCGCTTCAGCTTCCCGGGTAGCTGGGACTGCAGGTGCATATCGCCGCATCCGATTAATTTTTAAAATAATTATTTGTAGACACAAGGTCTCACTATTATTGCCCAGAACTCCTGGAGGTCCAAACAATCCTCCTGTCTTAGCTTCCAAAGTGTTGGGATTCCAGGCGTGAACTGCTGCGCCCAACCAAAAGTGTGTGTTCTGTTGTGGCACAGACACTGCTGTCTTTGCTTTACGTTCGATTGTGTAACGCGAATCTTAGAATTATGACAGGTACTCCTTATTTGGCTGTGGAATATTTGAGATGACAGTTTATCTCTTCTTGTCTAATATTGCGCCGTGGGGACCCAGCTAAAGTACAGTCCATTTGATGGGGCCTTTAGTGTTTGTTGGGAGGATCGGGAGTCTCCCAGTCCACCATCTTCACCTCTCCTGACCTTTTTTCTCTTAATGTGTAGGGTCCTTGATATACTCAGCTGTCCTGCTGAGTCCTCAATGCCTCCTTTATTCGTTCACCACACAGAGGTTGAGGAGGCCTTGAGGTGCAGAAGTCTCTCATACCCCAGGAAGCCTTTTCTCTAAGCGAGGGGCCCTCGTCCTCGGTCCAGCCTTCGTGTCTAATGGGGATTTAGGACAGCTTAGTTAGATAAATGTCCATCAGACGGAAATCCTGCATAGACAGGGTTGTGTGATTTTTCTTATCCAGTCAATCTTTCCCATGAGAATCATGATGTACTTTTCCTAGTATGTGGGAGAGTTGCTGAAAGTAGACAACACGTGTTTTCTTTCAGGCTGCAAAAAATGTCAGTGGTATAAATATTGTCTTCAGGAGGGTACTGTCAGATCAAGGTAATTGGAGAAATTTTCTTTGCACAGAGATCATGCTATGAAATGAATTGGAATTTAGTTTAATTGCACTTTATTTGCAGAATATCTTTGATTAACATTTCCTACCTGCTGTATGGAGCTTGCTTTAGAGGTAGGTGTCCTGGCTTCATGGTTAATCTGTGGGAATATGGCCGTACTATTTCACTTCTTTAATTAGCAATCCACAGGTGACTTTTACATTTGAAGATTGATGCTGTTTTGTGAAAGCCACATAAAAACCTGTATTTATGGTACCCGTAAAATCATTGAACTTCATCTTGCTGCATAATGGCAATATCAAGAAGCCTAATTATTTTCTAAAACCTGCTCAGACACTGCAGTGCAGTAGTTGAGGAAAATGGAAAAAAAGTGCTGTATTTTGGGGGATCTGGCTGGCAAGAATCATACCTTTTTATTTCTCAGAGCTAATTAGGGTGAGGTCCTATCGTTCTCTGCTTATAGATGTTTGAAGTGAGCATAATGTCATGCAGATAAGGACATAGCATTCGTCTGATCAACTTTTTGCTGTTGATATTCAAAAGTAAATACTGAGGCTGGGGTGCAGTAGCTCAGCCTATAATCCTAGCACTTTGGGAGGCAGAGGCGAGATGATTGCCTGAGCCCAGGGGTTCGAGACCAGCCTAGGCAACTTGGCGAGACCTCATCTCTACAATAAATCACAAAAAATTAGTCAGGCATGGTGGTGTGCGTCTGTAGTCCCAGCTACTTGTAAGGCTGAGGTGGAAGTATCACCTAAGCCCAGCAGGTTGAGGCTGTGATGGCCGTGAGCGTGCCACTGCACTCCAGCCTGGGAGACAGAGTGAGACTCCAACT